TGGATGACCGACCGAGTTGCCCCTGGCTTCTTTGTGCTTGCAAGCTTTGACAAGAGATCGGCTCGTGAGTTTTGCTCCCTGGGGACATGATTTAACGAAAATTTGGCAAAGCCAGCCGACACGACCTTTACTTTTTCAAGGTACCGAGCCAGTTGGGAATCTTTGGCCTGGAAGGTTCCTGCTACCTGCCCCGTCACAAGCTGTGAGTCACTCCTGGCCGACAGGCTTGTCGCGCCCATCTCCTTTGCCAAGGTCATCCCTGCCAACAGCGCTTCATACTCTGCTTGATTATTGCTCTCCCGAAACTCGAACCGTAGTGATTGCTCCAAGAGGATACCTCCTGGCCCCTCGAGGACGATCCCGGCTCCGCTGCCACTTAAGTTCAAAGCTCCGTCGACCGAAAGGATCCACTCGCTCTCTCCAGAAGAATGCTCCTCGGCTGGCGGGGTCAGTTCTACTAAGAAGTCGACCAACACTTGAGCTTTAATGGCTCCAGTCTCTCCATTCCTTAACATGTGTCCGTGATTGGACAACATTCATATTGCATTAGTTTTATTTTTGAATCACTTGTTTTGTCTTAGAAGTCATGTGTAGTCCTTTGTATGTTGAATATTCCTAGACTAGCTTGTTTGACCTAATTTTGTGTTGTTCTTCATTCATTAATTGGTGCGTCATTTTTTTTTTAAAATCTGAACCTATGTAAATTTTCTTTTGCTTTATATGATTGATTTCATGATTTGCTATTAGTTCTAGCAAATTTCCTAGAGTTAGGTTTCCTATATGTCTTGTTAAAAGTTTTGTCAAAAAAAAATTGTTAAACACTAATTCCTATTAGGTTTCTTTAAGTCTTGTGTGTGGCTGAAACTTATATCAATTTTTAAAGCATCAAAACAGAGACAAAACAGAGGTGTATGTGTTCTTATTTCATGAGAAAAACAAAAGAAAATAGTGCCTAAAAATTTGACCTAAAAATACTACAAAATTGTGAAGCACTAGTTAGAATATGCATGTGAACACCTCTTGTTTTGTGAAAATATTTTGGTAGCAGTTTTATTAGTTAAATCCGAGACATACACTTGATTAAAAGGCATTATACTCCTGTGTTAACAAAGAAAAAGAAAGAACAAAAGAATTCACAAAAGAAATCAAAAGAAAAGAACACAAGAAAAAGCCAAGGAGTGAAAATTTTAGTGAAATATTGCTCTCGATTTTGGTAGAATTTTGTGTGCCTTGTCTTCAATTTTCTATCCAGCCACATATACATTGTTTGAGTCTTATTTTACTATATAATCTTAGCTTTTATTTTTTGATCTATTCTAGTGCCATTGTTAGGTTTCTTTTTGTGTGCTAACTTTTCAAAATTGTGCTTTAATTATTGCTTGTCTTTCTTGGATTTCTTTCTAGTCTTGTCTCATCTACTTCCACCAATTGGTGTAGCCATTTCTAATTGTTCCTTTTCAGTTTTTTCTTTGAATTTCCAGCAACTTAGGGTGTGTTATGAAAATGCTAATGCATTACTTAATCATTTGTCAATTGTCTCTCATCCTGTGCTTATATTTTTGAATTGTTTTGCTTGTCCAGATGGCCTAAATTAATGGTCTCCATGTATACGATTTTACCTTAGCGTGGCTTCTCGTTATTTATTGTTACGATGTTGCAGTGTATATTATTGTTTATGGGGTCATAGTCATACATTAGCTTTCTTTTACAATTGTTTTGGGTGGGATTTGGCTGTTCATATTTGTCTTAGTTCCAATCCTCGTAAAGAAAAGAAAAGTGGTTTAATTACAAGTGCATTAATTATTGTTTTTGCAACTTTTACGTATTCGTTGGTTTATTAGCTTTTGGTGTTCTCACTATTGAGGATAGACGTGCAATGATAATTTTTAATCACTTCTCAAGTATTAGATAATTGTGAATTGCACTTTATAATTTCTATATTCGTGCGTTCAAGGATTATTAATAATTGTAATTCATATGCTAATAACTAGTTGATATATTTAAATATGTTAATGATATAATTGAGAATTATAGATGAATTGAGTGATGTATTGCTATTGTTATTTATTATTAATGATTAATTGATGTATTTGTGTTTGTTAATGACATGATTGAAAATTGTTAATGACTTGTATGATATGAGAATAGATGATAACTTGTATGATATAAGAATAGTTGATAACTTGTACGACTTGTTATTGTAATGTGCTATTGCATAGAGTCTTATTTGACATACATTATGTGTATAACTTATTTTGAAAGAGTATGATATGGAATACACTGTTAAAGAAGATTTCCTTGTATAAAAGCTTGATGATTAGTCCTCGTAGACAATTGGGTTTGTGATATCCTATTTTTGCCCATTATGTGCTTGAGATAGAGCTTAAGCGACTTCACTGTCTAACGAGACCATGATTGTATACCTTCCTAGTGAGAGTGTGGTGAGGATGTGACCCGACATATACTCCTAAACTACTCTATGTGTTGTTTTATAGTAATACACCACGTGATTTGATTGGCACCATATGCATGAGTGATTGTATTCCATGTTTATTGCATAGTGCATGTGAATGAATTGTTGTAGTAGCTTGTTCTGAGCATATGAATTTCTATTGTGATAACAATTGAATTATGTGTGGTTATGCTTCAAATGATTGTATCCTATTTCTTAATTTAATATAAATTTATTAAATATAAATTTATAATTGAGTTTTAAATTTATGGATTTATTTTAAATATGTAACTAAAGTAGGTTAAATCTCATTTTAAACTAAAATAAACAAACTTAAAATTATCATTGATAATTAAGTATATATATTTTAATTTATTATTTTTATGTTTAAACGTCCATAAATAAAACATGAAATTCAAATGTCTGATTATGTAATTTTTTAATTTTGCTTCATATCATGTGAAGGTAAAATCACTCGTAATACTATTATAATTATATGGTATAAAACTACATTCATATTTTGAATGAATTATTATTTTTTTTAAAAATTTATAAACATAATATATTTTGTTTACAAAAAATATTTAATAAATTTATTTAAATTAGTTTTACTATACTTTTTATATTTAAAATGAATATGTATAACAAAATTATTTATAAGAAAAAATTATATATTTTCTCTTTTATGTATGTTATTTCAACTCTCCATCATTAGATATACAAATTAATATATATTTAATTATTCTTTTCTAATATTGATGTGTCACAAAAAAATTAATAAATTTAATACTCAAACTCTCGTGATTCTTAAATTATTGAACACAATAAATAGTACAATGAAGTTCTACAATTTAATATTTTTTGGATTCTTCATTCAATTACATATTTACTTTTAAAAACTCTCTTCTTAATTAAATTGAGTTTCAAATTTATATTAAACATTTATATATATAGATATATATATATATATATATACATATATAATTTTTGTAATTATTTTATACTTATATATATACATATATTTAAATTCAGTGCATATATTAAATTTAGTGTAAATTGATATATTAAACTTTTCATATTCGTCTAATAGTTATTTTTAAAAATTTAACAAAATGATTTTTCTAATATCTCCTCTCCTTTTTTTTTTCTGCATATTAATTGTCAGAAAATTTTAATTTACTAATGAATTTCATAACTTTCTAAATCAATAATAAATTTCAATAATCAAAATAAAAAATTCTCACATTATGAATTTTGGTCATGTAGCCACAATTAAAAGGGTAAAACATTAATTAGATCTATGAAAATGTATGTTGTTGACACTTTGATATCTCAAAGTATACAAATTTCTTTTGAAAAAAATGTTTCAAAAAGTATAAAAGTATTTAAAATGTATGTGTTGACAGGAATTTTTTTATACGTTCAAGAACCAAAGTGCTAACGACATATATTTTCAGATACCTAATGATGTTTTATCCTTTAATTGTAATAGAAAATTGATATATAAATTAGATACACATAAAATTCATTTTTTACTAAAAAAATATAAATTTAAGCATTCAGCAAGCAAAAAATTGTTTTGACTAATTAAATAAATAAAATCAGAAAAGTAAAAATATATATATAAAAAAAAGTCTTCTCAATTGAGAAAAGGGACATATATTAACCAAATAAAAATTGTTTTAATTAATTAAATAAAAATAAAATCAGAAAAAATTAAAGAAATAAAAATTTAAAAATAAAAATGATTTTCATAAGTGGAATGACAGCTGTTTTTTAAAAATTAAAATAAAATAAAAATTATTTTGCAGTATGTCTCCTGTAATAGCTATTACAAAGATGGTAAAGTAAAACTAAAAATTTATGTTGCTACATCCAGTTTTAAGTGTTCAAGTTGAAACTGTTTTTAGATAAAAATAATTATCAAATAAATTAATAATGTGACAGAAATATAGTTAACTATATATATCTGTTAAGAAATTGTTTCGAAAGAATCTCACTTTGTTAATATGTTTTTCTGAAAACTACATTGTATGGAAAAAAAAAAAAAAAAAAGTCTCTTTTAGTTAAAGGAAACCGGAAATCACGTGCATCTTTTCTCCCATAAACAGAATCTGCTCACTAAAGATACGGTATCATAACTCTTTTTATTCTGTTCTATTAAAGAAACAAATTGTCTTTTTCAGAGGAGAAAATGGATTGCTTTTAATATATATATATATGTCTATGGATTAAATATGTGGCAGTTTTTCAACTTCATCTTCAAATCTATATACTATTTTCATATTTGTTCTCATCATTCATTACCATCAAAACCCTGTAATATTAATAAAATATAAGCACCAAATTAAAAATATTCAACATTTAATCAAACATATGTGAACTAGAAAAAGAATATTTACAATTCCTACTCATGATTTGTTTTTTTCATTTGATTCCAACTTGTGACTGTACATGATAGGATGGGACCAAATTCAGAACAATGTTACCAATAGAGATCAAATAGTAATTAAAAATATATTTTAACCGGTATATAAGGAACAAGGGGTCCTGAGGAAGGGATAAAAAGATTGGTTTTTATTGTGACTAGTGAGGGACTAGGAGTTTTTGAGATGAAAAGGTGTTGGCTGGTAGGGGTGTTGGTTGTGGTAGGGTGTGTCTTCTTGTTGGGCAGTGTTGGGGTAGAAGGTTACCCTGCTGAGGATCTCATTGTGAGGTTGCCTGGTCAACCCAAGGTTGGGTTCAAGCAATATGCAGGGTATGTTGACATAGATGTCAAAAATGGGAGAAGCTTGTTCTACTATTTTGTTGAGGCTGAGAATGGCCATCACAAGAAACCCCTTGCACTTTGGCTCAATGGAGGTTGGTAGTTTGTACCCTTCCTCAAGAATGCTTAATTGGATAAGTTTCTACTTTCTAGAGCTATCATTGTAAGAGCTTTAGTTCTATGAATCCTAATTATGGGTGCATAAGGAATGAAGTCAATCTTGAGAAGATGTTTCTTCCAGTTTTTTTCAATCATACTCTTTGACATGGTCTCTAGCTTGGTTTCTTTGTTTTTGGTTATTTAGTCTCATTTTTTTTCTTTCCATATTCATGTTTTATCTTCTGGTGGTTGCCATTTATCTTTCCTTGTCCCTACCAATTCAGGTTGTGTTGTCTTACTCATAGAAAATCATGTTTGCTTGGACCCCTTAGTGACAGATCTTCTACATCACAATTTTGAAATGTTTACACTTTATAAGAAAGATGAAACATTTTTTTTTTCTTTTTTGAAAAACTATAACAGCTACATCAAATATATCTACAGTGGTGCAATTATCTTACTAGAAACTCATAAAACAGTGAAACTCCTTTAACTCAGAGCAAGTGGCATTGTTTTTCAGGCCCGGGATGTTCCTCAATTGGAGGAGGTGCCTTTACTGAGTTGGGTCCCTTTTATCCCAGAGGTGATGGACGTGGTCTACGAAGAAATTCAATGTCTTGGAATAGAGGTATATTATGTGAGACAGTTTTTGACACAAGTTTTCCTTGTGATACTGAAGAATAATTTAGGTGTAAATTGATTTAATGATTCCTGATGCTGATATCATGTCTTTTTCATAGCATCCAATCTTCTCTTCGTGGAGTCCCCAGCTGGAGTTGGTTGGTCATACTCAAACACAACTTCAGATTACAACATTGGAGACGCATCCACAGGTAAGGAAAGTGACCAATTAATATGTATTCACATTTCTTTTTGTCACAATATAGAATAGATGTGTTATGTGTTCTTAGAATATAATTTTACCTATAACATGAATAAATATTTAATATAATATCTTTTATTATACATATTATTATAATGAAACTTTGATCCTGACCGGAGCACTCGTAGTATTATAAGGAAGTTTTAACCTTTATTTTACCTAGCTTGAGCATAACTTTTTATTTTTGGCAGCCAATGATATGCTTCTGTTCATGCTGAAATGGTACGAGAAGTTTCCTTCCTACAGATCAAGGGAGCTGTTTCTTACTGGAGAAAGCTATGCAGGTCTAAAAAAATAATGATCTTATCCCAATTTTAATGATTTTATTTGTTGAATTGAAATTCCCAAAACTTGGTCTCGAGTTCCAAAATATTCTATATAATATAAGCTGACGTTATTTAGTTAAGATCAAAGCTTTTAATCTATTATTTTATGCACATGCAGATAACTTGCATCATCATTCTTAGCAGGGGACATGCTATGAAATTATTGCCCCAGTTTACTTTACTTTCTTTTCCTTTTGGAAAAGTGTTTTTATCAAATTATAATGATAATATATTTTGTTTATTACTAACATTTAAATGTGGTACAGGACATTATATACCACAGTTAGCTAATGCTATTTTGGACCACAATGCTAATTCAGCTGGTTTCAAATTCAATATTAAAGGAGTTGCTGTAAGATCCCTTTCATGTGATATCTTTTTGGCATTATTTTACTCATTTATTTTTGCGTTGCTTTTAGACTAGTCTCTGTTATCATACCGCTAATATTTCAATTTGAAAGTTATTTTTCCTTGGCTTTCATTTGTTAGATTGGAAACCCACTTCTGAAACTTGATCGTGATGCACAAGCAACTTATGAATACTTCTGGTCACATGGAATGATTTCCGATGAAGTTGGCCTTGCCATTACGAATGATTGCGATTTTGATGATTATGTTTTTTCAAATACACAACATAATGTGTCTAAATCATGCAACAAAGCATTAAACAAAGCCGAAAAAATTGTTGGCGATTATATAAACAACTATGATGTGATTCTGGATGTTTGTTATCCATCCATAGTTGAACAAGAACTAAGATTGAAAAAGATGGTACTGTGCTACTTTCATTTCTATTCTATGAATTTAAAAAGTTTTTTTTAATAAAATTATAAACTGATTAATTTGGTTACTATAATGCAGGCTACGAAAATAAGCATAGGTGTAGATGTCTGCATGGATTATGAAAGAAGTTTTTATTTCAACCTTCCTGAGGTTCAGAAGGCTCTGCATGCAAACCGTACCAATCTTCCGTACCAATGGAATATGTGCAGTGGGTAAGTGCTTCATATTTTGGTGTTGCTACTCTATGAAACAATTGCAATCTTCTGTTTCTTTATGGTTAAAATTTCATGAACTTGTGTTTAATTATATATCTTTGAGTAAATTTGAATAGAAGGAGAATTCCAATGATTTGTTAACATCATTCTCCATAGTATATTCTATTATTCTATATATATATATATATATATATGATATATTCATGTTTATAGGCTTCTTAATCATGATAAACATGATATACTCCATTTCTCATTGTTGTCTACTTTAATTACTGATGTCTAATCTCTACATTTTCTTCATCGCAGTGTCTTGAATTATAGCGACACTGATCCTAACATAAACATGCTTCCAGTTCTCAAAAGGATAGTTAAAAACCATATTCCAGTATGGGTTTTCAGGTGAATTTCATTCAACAAATGAGACTGTTATATGCATGCTTTTTTTTTGTCATACTCTAATTATTTATGTATGTTAAAATATGACAGTGGAGACCAAGATTCTGTTGTGCCATTACTAGGTTCTCGAACACTCATTCGTGAGCTAGCGAATGAACTGAAGTTCAAGATCACAGTCCCATATGGAGCTTGGTTCCACAAAGGGCAGGTACTTGTAACACTCATTTAATTTTTGTGTTATGGTTTTGCAATTTTATTCACTAGATCTAATTAGTTTATAATATAAGGTGATTTGGTGAGTTTATGGCATTTAAATATATGTATATATAGGTTGGAGGTTGGGTAACCGAGTACGGAAATTTGTTGACTTTTGCGACTGTTAGGGGAGCTGCTCACATGGTACCCTATGCACAGCCTTCAAGGGCACTCCGTCTCTTCAGTTCATTTGTGCATGGAAAGAGATTGCCAAACACAACACGCCCTTCAATTGATTAATAATTCAGATTTAAGAACATGGATCCACCTGTGCTACCCATAATGTCTAGTTCATTAGATATTTCACCTAAAAGAGGAGGTCTCTCTTTATAGGTCATTTATCAAATGTATGGGAAAAAAAAATACAAACAAAGAAAAATTACAAAATATTCCATTCTTGAATCTATTGAATATTGATTCCCCATCTGCATTGCATATTCGTCATTCTTTATTTGGAAGCACATCATACACACTCTTTTTTTAAAGCACTTCTTACTGTTAATTATTTTATTAAAACTAAAATTATAAATTAAAAAAAAACCTGTATAATTGTGTAATTTTTAATGGATAATAAAAAAAATATTTAAAAGAGGTCATTAAGAAGTGTGTGAGTCACATTTATCTTAACATATTAAATGTTACAAATTGATTGTAAATTCCTAGGAGGCAAAATTGTGAATCCCATCATAGAACTCGGGAAAAAATAAATTCAAATTTGGCAACTGATATAAAAGGAAGAAAAATAGAGAGAACAAATAAGAAATGTGAGATGGAAAAAAGAATCTGACTAGTGTATTATCTTTGGGAGAGGACTAACCTATTTATAAGTACATGTGGTAGCTGAACAATTACATAATAAAGGGAATAATACATAACAAAAATATAAATGGTAATGATTGATAATGAATATTGGCATCCACTAATTAAGCCACTAATTATTATTCATAACACTCTCCTTGGATGTCCAATATTTAGAATGTGTCTCGTTAAAACCTTACTAGGAAAAATCCTGTGAGATAAAAACTTAGTGAAGAAAAAAGAGTATATCATTCATAAATATTTATTTCTCCCCCTCGTGCATATAATCTTTAAGACGATAGAGTTCAATCTTGTGTATCAACTGTTTAAAAACTTTTCTTGGAAGTTGTTATTACTAGACAATAAAACTTAATCAATACCATGAATGAGCAAGTAATAGAGGGAGGCCTAGAGAGAGCCACCATACAAGAAATTGACAATCTCAATAAGAGTACGAAATAAAAAGCAAAAGAAAAGATGATGAAGATGATGTTGATGGATCTAGTTTTGTAAATACTTTATTCACTGGTATTTCTTTTGCTAGAATAAATAATTCTCATTTGGAGAAATTGGTTACACCCAATAGATACTTTATCAATTGTGGTGGTATTGAGAACAAGCCTAATAAAGTTTTTGATAAGGATAAAGGCAAGTTTTTTTAAAATCCAAGTTTTTGATGAGGAATTTCTTAGCTAGTGCTAATATGGAATGGGGCCCTCGTTATTAAACTTTGGGGAAGAGAGTCCACTTTTCGAATCATTGAAAATAAACTTAAGAAAGAATAGACCTTAAAGGAAAAAAATCAACATTATTGACCTCCTTGATGGTTTCTACTTGGTTTAGTTCGAGGAAAAAATCAAAAGCCCTTGAAAAATTGTTGACCACTACTTGTTGGTGTAAAGATAGAGACTGGACTTCTCAATATCTACTGATATAGAGAAGAAGAAGGTCAACTAGGTTCATATTCTGAACTTGCCCATGGAACTTTCTAGTGAAGTCTTCCTCTCTCGTCTGGGTAATGCATTGGGGATCATGCTAAAGGTTGATAATGTTACATCTACACACTCTATAGGGTAATTCACTTGATTTTGTGTGGAAATAGATTTAGAGAAGCCTCTCGTACCCAAAGTATGTGTTAGAGGACAATCCCTTAACTTGGAACACGAAGGCTTGCACCTTGTTTGCTTTTCTTTTGCCCGAAAGTTGATGACTAGATTTCATCATTCGTATGTATACGTCTGTGTATGTTCATTGTATACGCATATAAAGAACTGCAATAGTAGATAGTTAGAACAATTAACAGATACGGTACTAGTTCAATCTTAAAACTATTTACTTCATGGGAAATATAGAAGAGAAAACCAATTATTATGAGATGCGGAGACTATAGCCAAACATCTCTAAGGGATGTATTTGTGACATTGTTTGCAATTTTACCACAAGGGTGTGATCGACAATGAGATTTTGGAGGAAAAGAGAAAGAAAGACATTTTTTTTAACTATCTATAATTTATATTTATCTATCTTTAACTATTATAAAAGAATATATTCTTGGAACTATCTATTTAGTTTCTACTTTTCTTGGAGTCTTGGAGACAGTTATATTTTCAAACAACTATAAAGAATAATATGTAATCACATAAAAAATTGTAATCACTTATTTATTTATATTTTTTAATAGAAATATTACTAGTAACTATAATATATATACATAAGAAAGGGGTTAAATGTAACACTTTCATGCAACTAGAGACAAATTTTGACATCTAATCTTATTTATTTATTTTTATCTAATATGAAAATTATTATCAATTTCAACATATTTAATCTATCATTATTATCTTTATTATTATAATTATCATCATCATTATTGTAAAGAATGACCAAAGATCTGTGAGACTCTCTTAACTGAAAGGTTACAAAAGCAATTAAAATAATTGTTTATTATATGTTGTACAATTTTATAAAGTTTTGTTTTGATCCTAGCTAACTTAAGGGTTAAGGATCATAGACTATAACATTTTTTTCCCTAGGCTATAATCTATGATCCTTAACCCTTAAGTTAGCTAGGATCAAAACAAAACTTTATAAAATTGTACAACATATAATAAACAATTATTTTAATTGTTATTGTAACCTTTAAAGTTGTTATTGTTATTACTAGACAATAAAACTTAATCAATACCATGAATGAGCAAGTAATAGAGGGAGGCCTAGAGAGAGCCACCATACAAGAAATTGACAATCTCAATAAGAGTACGAAATAAAAAGCAAAAGAAAAGATGATGAAGATGATGTTGATGGATCTAGTTTTGTAAATACTTTATTCACTGGTATTTCTTTTGCTAGAATAAGTAATTCTCATTTGGAGAAATTGGTTACACCCAATAGATACTTTATCAATTGTGGTGGTATTGAGAACAAGCCTAATAAAGTTTTTGATAAGGATAAAGGCAAGTTTTTTTAAAATCCAAGTTTTTGATGAGGAATTTCTTAGCTAGTGCTAATATGGAATGGGGCCCTCGTTATTAAACTTTGGGGAAGAGAGTCCACTTTTCGAATCATTGAAAATAAACTTAAGAAAGAATAGACCTTAAAGGAAAAAAATCAACATTATTGACCTCCTTGATGGTTTCTACTTGGTTTAGTTCGAGGAAAAAATCAAAAGCCCTTGAAAAATTGTTGACCACTACTTGTTGGTGTAAAGATAGAGACTGGACTTCTCAATATCTACTGATATAGAGAAGAAGAAGGTCAACTAGGTTCATATTCTGAACTTGCCCATGGAACTTTCTAGTGAAGTCTTCCTCTCTCGTCTGGGTAATGCATTGGGGATCATGCTAAAGGTTGATAATGTTACATCTACACACTCTATAGGGTAATTCACTTGATTTTGTGTGGAAATAGATTTAGAGAAGCCTCTCGTACCCAAAGTATGTGTTAGAGGACAATCCCTTAACTTGGAACACGAAGGCTTGCACCTTGTTTGCTTTTCTTGTGGTAAATATGGCCACAAGCAAGATGTTTGTCCCCACATTATTATCACCCTTAATGTCACCTTGGAAGGAGTGGAAGTTCAAACAAATAGGAAGATAATTCCTAATGTAAGCATAATGACAATGAAAGACATGTCCATGACCACAAAGGAATCTGAAACAATCACCAAGCTTGACATGGTTAGTATAAAACATGATCCTATAGATGATTGTAAAAAAGGTTGTCCACCGCCCCTATCAGAAAATTATCAGAAAATTTATTAGTTTATATATAAAATATTATATTATATATATATTTTTTATTTTATATATTAAATTTATTGATGATTATTAATGATATATATATATATGATGATGATTATTTTTTTTTTTAAATGTCCCACTCATTTATGATCGTGGTAGAGTTATCAAAGTGGACTTCAACCAAATATAGTTTATTTTACAGATCGCCATAAAATGACTGTACCACTACTTGTAAACAAATATCTTATTTGTGATTTACCATTATGACAAATAATCTGCATTTGCATAACCATTTAGTCCTGGTTTGGAAACATTTGAATATAATAACCCCATATCTATTGTACCTCTAAGATAACGAAGGATTTGTTTAACTCCATTCTAATGTCTTTCTGTAGGTGAAGAACTATATCTTGCTAACAAATTAACAACAAATACTATATCAGGTCGTGTATAATTAGCAAGGTACATTAGTTCTCCTATAGCACTGAGATATGGTACTTCGAGACCAAGTATTTCTTCATCCTTTTCTTGGGGTCTAAATGAATCTTTGTTAACATCTAAAGATATTACAACCATGGGAGTGCACAATGGATGTAATTTATCCATATAAAACTTTTTAAGCACCTTTGTTATATAAGTTTTGTGATGCACAAGAATTCCATTTTTTAAGTATTCAATTTGCATTCCTAGACAAAACTTTGTCCTTCCTAAATCCTTCATTTCAAATTCTTTTTTTAAGCAATATATTGCCTTTGAAAGCTCTTCAAGAGTTCCAATGATGTTTATGTCATCTACATAAACTACAATTATGAAAAATCTATTTTCAGATCTTTTTATAAATATACAAGAAAAAATTGGATCATTTTCACTAAGTCGATTATACCACATACGACCTGATTGCTTTAGTCCATATAGAGACTTATTCAACTTGATCGAATAATCTTCTCTAGAAATTGCATCGTTAGGCAAATTAAATATTTCTAAGAGTTTCATATAAATGTCAGCATCAAGAGAGCCATATAAATATGTTGTAACTACATCCATTAGGTGTAAATTGAATTTTTCATGTCATTACAAAAAAAAAGTCAATTTAGCCACCGAAATTAGCGACCAATTTTTTTTCGTCGCTAATAGCGACATAATTAGCGACCGAATCTGATTTGGTTGCAAATTTTATTTAGTGACCGAATTTTTTAGTGGCAAATGATCGGTCGCTAAAATAATAATTGTTAGTTAAAATAGCGACGAAACGGTTTTGGTCGCTAAAAAAATAAAAAAAAATATATTATTATTTATAATAATTTTAGCGACCAAATTAAAATCGGTCGCTAAAAAAATAAAAATATTATTATTTATAATAATTGTAGCGACCAAATTAAAATCGGTCGCTAAAAAAATAAAAAAAATATTATTATTTATAATAATTTTAGCGACTAAATTAAAATTGGTCGCTAAAAAAATAAAAA